TCTCACTAACCTCATAATGGCTGCCTCTATTAAGATATCTCTTTTCTTGTTCCCTGTCCTTTTCCCAACTCGACATCCCCTTCTCCTCCTCCCCTTCCCAGGGAAGGTTCTTATTTTCACTCTCATAATCAGTCGAGGAACTCAGACTCTCTTTTTTTCATGGAACAAGAATAATGTGGGTGGTTTCTTTATCTTTCCTTGCCTTACTATGATCATCAATGGTGTATTTTGGACTTAGAGAGAAAGTTGTTTCTTTTGGTTTGAAAGACGGACATCACATTGAACTATAAGTGACCATATCAGCTGTGAATCATTTTATAAGTAATGAAAGGAACAAAAGACCATAAGGAGCATTCTGTGCATCTGTAACTGTAAAATCAGCTAATAAATGCTAACTTTAAAGATTTGGACCATTCAGCATACAGCAGTAGTATTTATATTTTGGGGTATGTATGACTGTAATTTTAATTGAAAATGCATATGAAATATTATTCATCAATCATTAATAGATGTTATTACAATTTCTATATTTCCATTTTAAAATTGGCATGCCTCTATTGTTCAATATTTAGCAAAAATTAAAAATGCTTATAAATATCCTCAAAATTCAGCATATTTAATATTTTGGTGTGTTTTCTTTCTTATTTTTTTTCCTAATAGATACTAAGTTTTATTTTGCCATGTTCCTTTTTAAGCACTTACGTTAGTGTGCATCTTGAATTGAGATCTGGAAAGCGTAACTACATAAGCAATAAGTGGGGAAATCTGAATATTTGCTAACACTTGTCGTTGTGGGTTTTCATACTGTTCACATTTTGACTCCTGTTAGCCATCTATGGAATTACTGGATTTTTACTAGCCCCTTGTCAGTATTTAATCAATAAAAACTCACTTTAGATCTCATGAACAATGTTACACACTTCAACTTTATACCACATATAGTCAACTTTGTGAGGTAGATACTATCGTACAATTTTATCAATAAATGCGGTGGTGGTGTCACTCACCCTTAATCCCAGCACTTAGGAGGCAGAGGAAGGCAGATCTCTGTGAGTTCAAGGCCAGCCTGGAACACAGAGTGAGTAGTAGGACAGGCCCCAAAGCTACAGAGAAACCCTGTCTCAAAAAACAAAAAAACAAAACAGAAAATATGAAATTATGATCATGAATTACAAGATGAATTAGTATCATCTGTTTTAAGCACTGTTTGATACACAGATTGAATTGTCTGTCTATTTTAATGTATTTTAAATGTTCAAAAGTGAGTAATGTCTACTTCAAAAATATTTCCATTTAAAAGTTTTAATTAAAAAGATTTAAAATTTTCTTTTCTTTCATAGTTTTTATTAAAAATTTACTTTTCATCTTACATACAAACTTCAGCTTCCCCTCTGTCCTCTTCTCCTGCCCACCTCACCTTTCCCACTTCCCATCCCCCATCCACTCCTCAGAGGGTGTACAGCTTTCCTTGGGGTCTGGCCTACCAAATTGAGGCAGGACCAAGTACCCCTCTTACACATATCAAGATTGAGCAAGGCATCCTACCATAATGAATGGACTCCAAAAAGCCAGTTCATAAGCCTGGAAAAGGTCCTGGTGCCTGGGAAGAGGAGACTCTTCCCAGCAGAGCAGGCCACATTAACTGCTGCCCACATTCGGAGGGTCTAGATCGGTCCCATGTAGGTTCCCCAGCTGTCAGTCCATAATTTTACAGATGTTTAGAAAATAATACTAAAGAACTCAAGAGATGTCTTTGTTGGAACAATGCTTGCTGAGAAAACCTGAGAACTGCTGGTGAGGTATGAGGAGGGAGAGAGCATGCAGTGAAGAAGCTCCTTTAGGAGGCTGGCAGCTCAGTGGTGGACTACGAAAACCAGCCTGATGGTGTGGAGCTGATGCTATTCATATTACAGTCAAATCAGGGCTAGAAACTCCTTTTGGCTGGAGTTGAAAATGGCCAAATTATAGCAAAAATGGTACCGACGGAGCACCAAAAGTGTGGTACTACATTTATGAACCTGGTAATGAATTCTTGGGGGTGGGGCAGAAACTGGGAACTTTGGAACTTGTCCAGATACTGAGTGGGATGGGTAAGAACTTTCAAGGACTTTAATATTCTCACAACTCCATTATGGCTTGGCCTCACACATTCACCTGTGAATATGTAGGATTGAGATACAGCAGATACAGCTGGTGGTGATCATAGAAATGGCACAGCCTTTTTATTCCTTCCTTTTTTTCTTTATTAAGAAGTTTGACTTACACTGGGGTTTATAAGGCAATTTAGTTTAATTGTTCTTTGTAGAGAGTGCATAGCCAGACTGTTAATAGGATCACACTCAACCTCCAGCCTTGTAAATTCTGTGCTTTTTGTAAAATTGCTTAATAGTTCTCTTTCTCAATTTCCTCATCTTTGAATTGACTTCCTTCACACACAGTGAAGATTCAATAAATGAGTCAGAGGTTTTTTTTAGAACAATGCTTGACACCCAAGGACACATATAGTTATCAGTTCTTAAAAATAAAAAAAAATACCAAGAACTGTAAAACTAGGTAAATTTAAATTAGATTGTTTTTTATTGTTTTAAGGACACTAGAAAATAAGATTTGTGTTTTATTGCCACTCCCATAATCGAGATGAGGTATTGTTCCTAAGAGCTCACTGTGTGAGTGCTGGGGAAGCTGTGAGCAAGGCTATGGACTCTTCCTGAGATCTAATGGCTAGAATGTGGGATCATTTTAAAACAAGTGATATTAGAACACAGGTTTTTACAAAATAGTTGCCAGTCTATAAAATTTTCTGTAGGATTCCACTGAAGTTAAGAAATTCTTCTCTGCTTTCAGTTGTTAGTTTGTTTTTGAGACAGGGTTTCTCTGTGTAGCTGTGACTATCCTGGAACTCACTAGGTAGAGCAGGTTGGCCTTAAACTCACAGAGATCCACGTGCTTCTGTCTCCTGAGTGCTGGGATTAAATGTATGCGTCACCACACCTGGCTTACTTATGCTCTTTTTCGTGCTATCAGTTTGCAAAGAAGAGCATAAGAAATGCAGCTACCTCTAGAGAAAGTCTGCAGTGGACAGATGCTGTTTTGAAAACAATGAATGTTTGGTTGTAATTCTTTTTAACTAATGTAAATTTCAGAATTGTGGGATTTTGGTAGGAGTTGGGGAAGGTGAAACATGATTAAAATACATTATATGAAAAAAATCTATTAAAAGTGACAACTAATACTCAAACAACCATTTATCTTAATTTTAAACCTTACTGGATCGACTTATCTAGGAATCTGATGGGGAGAGCATGGCTCTGTTTGTATCTGTGAGAGAATTTCTAGAAAGGATTAACTGCAATGGAAGACAACTTTGAGTGTAGGCAGTATTATTCCATTTTATTCTGGAGCTCTGACAGAATAAAATGATGGAAAGATGAGAGAAGGGGTGGAGAGGGGAGGAGAGAGAGAGAGAGAGAGAGAGAGAGAGAGAGAGAGAGAGAGAGAGAGAGTTATGGGATTTAGAAATTATTTACTATGTAAGAGGGCATATACCTAACACTACTCTAACAATCACTTAGCTATCTCTTTTAACAATCCTAGCCTTTTAAACACACCTGTCTCCTGACAGCTTGTCACACTGATGTTATGATACATCAATGTTGATCACTCTCCAGAATGTTATTTATGTCTAATTCATTTTCCCATCTATGGAGACAAAGTGTTCAGTGCAACTGTATTCATAGAAATAGTCATTGGAATTTTTTTTTTCATTTCTCAATAGCTAATCAAAAAGAAAAAAAAAAGGTAATCAAAAGCCTAGCGTTTCTGTTTGGGGACAAATTTGCCTGTTTAGCCTGTGTGCTATTCTCTTTGTCTGTTGGCTAGTCTGTAGTTATTAAAGACTATGTGTTGGATTGTTTACTAGCATCCTGTAGTTTGGACAGCACAATGAAATTTGCATAACCCATTCAGCTGTTGCGGAGAGAAGCCTGCTGCCATAGTGAGGATTATGATGTCCTTTATCAGACAAATTCCCAAAATAAGAGTGACCTTTGCAAAGCCACATGCAAATATTTATTATCTTAGATATAGCTAACTTCTCAGGAAAGAATGAATTACCTTTCTCGGTCATTAAATGGGAAATCCACAATACATGGTTTCCCCTTTTTCTTACAGCAAACTCCCCACTCCCTCTGCTTCCATGCCCAAAGTGCAAGACTCAGAGGGATTGACTGTCCTTTCCAGTTGTATAAAAGAAGAGCTTGCTTGTTTCATTTATAACTTAACCAGGCCATTGTCCGAGAGCTGATCCCTATGGAGATTATTAAATTGTTTTGTTCTGTTTTGGTGCTGAGTGCTGCACAGGTAAAGCACCTACTGCAGCTCTGAGTCGAGTCTACCCCTCCTATATCTTTTGAACCTTGGGATCCTAAGCTTCACTCTGAGTTCAGAAGAGGAATGTCAGAATCTCATGTGTATCATATATAAACACCACATATCCTTCCATGTAAACTGGGCGATGGGAATACAAACTGAAAATTTTATTAAGGATGTATATCACTTTTTAACAAAATTTTTAAAATACAGATTTCTCACATTTAAGGGTTGTCAATTTAAAAATAAATGAAAACTTTATTTAAAACCTTTAATGAAGTTTCTGAATCAGAACACTTGAACTACTGCTCGGAAATATTTTATAACAATTATAAGCTAAAATCATAATTAAACTAATAATTTAATTAGTTTAACAGTCTAATGAATAATATAAACACACAAGCTAGTTTCATAAAATAGCCATTCTTCCTGAAGCTAATTATGATACCTTCTTTAATTGTAGTGGTTTATGAGGTCTGAATATCATGACACAGATAAGTTTGAGACATATCAATGTACAAACTCAACAAAATATTTTCTTCTGAAAAAGAAATATATTTTTAAAAAAGAAGGGAAGAGCTACACTTTCTTGCAGCATTGTGAAGTTGATGATCCCTGTGTTTGCCTTTCAGATCCCCAGCTCAAGGGCATAGTGACCAGGTTATATTGCAGGCAAGGCTACTACTTGCAAATGCACCCCGATGGAGCTCTCGATGGAACCAAGGATGACAGCACCAATTCCAGTAAGTGACTGACTGAGTCTGCTACTCAATGGCGTTGTGAGATACGTTTGTAAATGCTTGGTTCTCTTGGCTTGTTTCTAGTTGCCTACTAGAATCCATGTATCATTTCACTGAGACCACCTGCATAAAGGTACTGATGCAGAAGGAGGCAACTTTGGGGTTAAACTGAGTGTATCTTCTTTACAGATATTTCCAGAACATTACTTTTTATCTCCTAATCATAACAGTTAAGCATACTAAAGCATTGGTATAAAAGTTAATATCCTTCTCATAAGAGAGATTAGTCAGGCTATGTACATATAAATACATTGTACAAAACATTTAATTACCTTATTCAATAATATTTGTGTTAATTAATTTAAAATATATGTATCTTTTGTGATATTGATTTTTTCCATTTGCTATTTTTGTTTTGAACTTGTTTACATTTTTCATGGGGTATGTCTAAGACTTTCCTTTCCAAAACTGTTTTATTTTTCATTTATACTCTGATCTCTGATTTCGTCTAATTTCACATGAGTTCTAACACACACACACACACACACACACACACACACACGCACGCACAATTTTTATTGCTGGGCTCAGTAAAATTCAAAATACGATATATAACTCTTAGGCCATGAGCAAGAATGATTGCCTGTCCAGTTACCATTTCTCTTCATAATAGATTATACTTCATTAGAAGATAAGAAGACTTGATACATATAATGAAATCAAGTTTAGTCTGACTCATCAAGTTATCAGACAAAGACTCTGAGAACAATTAATGATGGGTAATAAGCTGGTTTACACATGATGCTTGCATTTGGAATGTTAGTATTTTTCTTTTTCCTTTTATCTGAAGCGAGCTGAAATTTATAAATAGTGTGTTTATATTACTAGTTTTGGGGGAGTTGCTTCAATTCCATATGTGTGTGTGTGTGTGTGTATGCACATATATATGTATATATGTGTGTGTTTTCCCTTGTTAATCTTCCCTTTCCTTTTTTGACATATTGTATTTTTTCTATTTTGTCTTCCATTTTTTAACGTTGAAATGTTCCCTAGATTATTGTTGCTTGACTTATTTATCGCTTTCTCTTTTTTAATTTCTCTTTTTTATTTTTTCCATTCAAAATGTACACTTCCTCTCCTCCTCCCATTCAGCTCCAGCTTCCCCACTCACCCTCCTCACTCCCCCTCCCTCCTTAAGAGAGGGCAGGAAATCCTGCCCTGTGGGAAGTTCATGGCCCTTCCCCCCTACATCCAGGATTAGGAAACTTTACATCCAAATAGACTAGGGTCACAAAAAGCCAGTACGTGCAGCAGAAACAAGTCCCAGTGCCTTTATCAATGGCTTTTCAGTCAGCCCCCATTATTAGCCACAATCAGAGAGTTCGGTTTGATTGCATGCTCATTCAGTCCCGGTCCAGGGTCCAGCTCTCTTTAGATCAGGCACACTGTCTCAGTGGGTGGACCAACCCCTCAAGGTCCTGACATCCTTGCTCATCTTCTCCCTCCTATTATTTGGAAAAAGAGAGGAAAAAATAATCCAGGCACAGGGAAGAAAGAAAATAACAATTGGCAAGGTCTCATGAATAAAGTATCTTTCATAAGATTAGAGTTTGAGTGGTATCATCTGCACAAATCATGACAAAAGTTTTCAAGAAAGGAAAAGAAAGTTGCAACCAAAGGAAAGAGCTGCTTCTTTGGACTGCTTTCTCCTTTCTTTGGCAAGGTGTGGGGTGCATGAGGTAACAGTATGTGCATGTGTAGAGCTGGTTGTCTGAAATATACAAAAGTTGCTTCACCACCCAACAGGGTTTAGGATGGCAGTTCTCACATGAACCACAATCTAGGCACAGGGACATCTTTATTTTTATTCCTCTTGGCTTTGCCTCATTGCTTTTTAATTACATAAATTGCAAGAAGAGTAGAAAATAATTTATCTGTGTTTTTACCTAGTGCCACACATCATCCATGGTCAGTTCCACATTGTTAACTTGTAAATGATAATTGCTTGCATTTTCCCCACCAAAATCCTGAGGAAAGAAGGACAGTGTAATTTTTATTATGGCTATGCTACATTTTAGAACTTCTCTGGTTACTATATTATATTATTTTATAATATTCATATTACTCTTTGCCTTTGGGAATTATATTGTCTAGTTGACTTGATATGTTCAGAAGTTATCATGCTTTTTTAAAAGCTGACTAAAGAGATTAAAATAAATAGATTTGAAATTGTCAGGTTAGGTAATTTACAAAGACAGATGCAAAATTATATTTTACCTTAAAATTCTGTACAGAATTTATGACTTATCCCACAGTGCCCATCCTTTCAGAGTGTGGGAGACAATAAAGACAAGAATGAATATAGTCCTCACACACAAAGAAGAAATACAGAGAGTTGTCAGGACAAAGCTTGGAACCCAATGACATCATACCATACTCAATATTAAATAACAGAAATGAAAGGGAGTAAATCCTTTTTCTTTTTCTATACATCACAACCCTCCATAATCCTGCATAAGACAGTTCAATATTCCTTTGAATGGTGAAAACAGTACTCAACTATTCATATATTAACCCCCAAATTAATCTCTGTGTAATTATGAAGACCATTGCTGTTGTTTTACTTTCATCAATAGTGGGGTGCATATATGTTATGATCTGGGGAACAGGAATTTGTAATTATTTCAAAAGAGCATGTAGCTTTCTCCATCCTGTACAGCATGCCCCTGAGAAGAAAGCCAGACCAACACTTGCTGCAGTCTTAGCTTGCAATTATGTACAGAGTAGCCTTAGAATAAATCACATTGCCACAAGTTTTAAGAGACATGTATTTTGTAAAAGAGTTCAAGGCCTAAAGTTAAGACATTTTACTTATACATTTAAATAGCTGGAGACTTTTCTCTGTCCTGATCAGTTTCTGTCCTGCCCACTGGTCCCCACAGCCTCTTACGAAATAATCATTTGTAGGCTTAATATTAATCATAATTATTGGACAATGACTCAGACTTTTACTGGCTAGCTCTACACATGAATTACCCCATTTCTAATAATATGTGTATCACCATGTGCCTGGTGACTTACTAGTAATGTTCTGGCATCTTACTCCTTTAGTGAATGCTGGCATCTCTCCAGCTCTGCCTTATTTCTCCTTGTCTCTCTGTTTGGATTTTCCACCTAGATATATTCTGTTATTCCATAGGTCAAACTGGCTTTTTAAATTAACCAATGGTAATAAAACATATTCACAGCCTACAGAGAGACATCCCACATCACATTTATATCAAAAGCTGTGTACTTCCCAGGAAGATTCCCATTAATAAAAAATAAATTCAAGTTAAGGAGTTGAATGAGAGTGATAATTAATAGCTTTTTTGTTAATACCACTTGTACTAAAAATATTTCTGAAATACCCACTGAAAATTCTGTGTGTAGCAAGATATTATGGTTGATAATATCCAAGATGATATTGGTGAGTAAACTTTGTGAAAATATACTATATTAGAAGGTAAGAAAAAATAGAAATATAAATGGATTTTAACTTACTAAATTTATAGAACTGAGCGTGGTTCACTTATATTTTATTTATAACTTTATAAAAATTAATAAATCATATACTTTCTTTAAAACTTGCAAAGAATTTGATTTTATTAGTATCTTGTAAGCTTAACCCATGGGAGACTACACATCTTTTCTTGTTTTTTTTTTTTTCTGGCATTTCATGTTGCTGCTTCCAAAGTAATTTAATCTGAGAATTGCTTCTGAACTTCTGTCTTACACTGCACTGCAAGTGTCCAGTCACACAGTACAGAAAATGACAGTCAGCTTTCAAGTTGCACTTTTTAAATTCTGTTCCTTGAGAATACCTATCGATGATTTTATTTTCTGGAATCTAGTAATGTCAGACTTTGATAGTAGAAGTATAACTACAGCCTTGATTCTGTTCTGCCTCCCAAACACTTCAGAATGGTGTGCGCAAGCCAGCTAAGGAGAAGCTAAAGCTGGGATGCTCATTTTTCAATATGGCAGTAGCTTCTTCATCATAAAGGAAAACATTTTCTTTAGTTAAAACTTGGAAAAACAGAAATACATATGATACGTTTTAAGTGACAGAAAGAGAAGGGAGAGTGTTGCTGAAATGCTTTGTTTTACTGTGTGGTGACGGAACACCTTTCCTTCAACAGCACTGTTCAACCTCATTCCAGTGGGACTGCGTGTCGTTGCCATCCAGGGAGTGAAGACAGGGTTGTACATAGCCATGAATGGAGAAGGTTACCTCTACCCATCAGTAAGTGACACGCCAATGACTTTGGCACTCAGTGTGTTGCTGGAAAAATAAGAAAAGCAGCAATAGAAATTAAAGATGTGTGCATAAATTCTGCTGCTTTGACTTTGGGGTTTGGTCCTTACAGGGTGGTTTCAGGAGTTGCTTGTTAATTATTCCTCAGTGTTTGGTGACAAGAGCACATCTGAAGGAATAGGAATCTTACATCTTGAAATGTGTTTGCTGCATTTTAAAAGATGACCTAGTTCATAGAATCAGTAAGATGTTGTTAGTATGATCATTTCATTTCTGATTATAAATGCACTTCTTTTTGGAGACTTTCAAAAGAAGTGTCATGGGTACACATATTTTTTTACTAATTTATTTTTACTCTGTTTAATAACTGAATGTTTATTTGGGTCAATATGGTATGTCAATCTTTTTCTACCTGGAGATTTAGCCAAGGTTATTAATAGACTTGTCACCTTACCAGCATAGCTTTTATTAAAGCAGTGCTTAAATGTGCTTTCATTTGAAATATACAAAATATTTACTGTTTTCATCATACATGTGGTGACCACTAGGATTTATTTCTACTTGATAAGTGTCTCCTCTTTCCCCATCACTCTCTTGGAATCCAAAAGTTTGTATTTCCTAAAAGAAAACAATATGACTTTTGAAAGACAAAGGAGCACAGTTGTCTCTCAGCCTCTGTAGGCAGTGCTTCCAAGATCTGTGGATACTACAATCTGGGGACACAAAGTCATCCTTATGAAATTTGTGTGTTGACTACATTTCCTCATGTATACCATATTTACATTTTTGAAGACAATTATACAATGTGAATAAGAATAGAATTGTTGTTTTATGTATTTATTATGGAGCAATCATATGAAAAAGATCTATATATGTTCAGCACAGACACAAGATTTTATATAATGCTATGATTGGCTAGTTTGAAGGTATATATACTAAACCAGTGGATAGACAGGAACAATTTTATTTGTTTTAATAGGAATTCCTATAATGGAGATATTTTAGAGAAAAATATTTATAATAATGAAGTATCTATCTCACACAAATCTAGACATCAATTTCTGGATTTTTTTTATATTTATCAGAAACTGACCAGTTTTTCTTTCAGATAGCCTCCACTGGATTTTTTTTTCATTAACTTATTTTCCACCAGGTATGCTTTGCTCATGAGCACATGACTATAATAAGTTAGAATCTTGTTCCATTGCTGGCCAAAGAAATACATATTTTATCATGAATGCTTTTTCCCATTATTCCTTTAGCGTAAATCAATAGATTAAAATATATTTTTCTCTGAGTTTTCTTTCCATTTTCATACAAATTCTTAGAACATTTGTTATTATTAACATAATCAGCAAACAACTGTAATATTTATTTATAATAATATCATATATTTATATATCAATAACGTATGACTTTATCCACATATATTATGTAATAAACATTCTCTTCAGCCTTCCTCAACAGGTAATTTATTTTTCCAGCACTTTGGAAACTCTGTCAAAGGGTTTCTGCAATGTAGCCTCAGAATCCCTCTTATCTAATATCACCCAAGGGTATTCCAAAGCTCAGAACTAGGTATTACATTATGCAAATTGTGTACTGCTGCAGGAGATGAATATGCAGCATGCTGTGAGCAAGATCAAGACAGAATTTTCTATAACTTATCTAGGAAAACATATACAAAAAGAGATCATTTCTAGAGATGACTCACTTCAGATACAATTCAATTGTACTGATTTGACATTTGTTCAGTTATTTTTGTTTATTTATACCTAAGTAATGTCTTTGAATAATCTGAATATCACTAGATTTACTACAAACCACAGCATCTAATTCTTTCTTTCTGTTCAATTTTTTTACTTCATGATTGTTCTCTTATGCATATGCTATTATCAGAGCATGTATGTTTGTTTTATCCTTTTGTTACTATGGGCAGTGTTTTTAATTATTGCTTATTTTCAGTCAGGTTATAATTGTAATATATTCTTCTCTAAAGATAGATTAATCTCTTGAATATGAGTTTTTGCCTAGAACAAATTCTAGTATGTTTAGAGCAATGTACCAGTACAGTAACATTGAAAACAAGGCAGCGACTCCAAGTCCTTAAATATGGCTTCCTTGTTGAGGATTAAAAACTTATGAAGTTGCTGAGGGGAACAGTATTTGTACCTCTAAGTATTCAAAGATCTTGATGCATTGTCTTCTTCTGGTTTCATGGGTGGTTAGCTTCTGAACATCCCCTACGGTGGCTTGAGTCTCTGACTTACAGCTTTTGTTTTCTTTTCTTCCCATCTTTGGCACCATGAACACAGCTTATTTCCCAGCCAAAGCTATCTCCCTAGCCTAGCTTGGTGGCAGGGAGGGACCTGTTATCATTTCTACCTTCTGGGAAAAGACTTTAAGAAAAACCCAGGGCAATTTCAAGTCTTTTCTCATACTCCATAGTTAAAATGCTCCATTGATTTAAACTAAATAGAGTTTTAACTTTAAATATTTTAGTGAAGACAATGTTATTTCATAATTACTAATTGCATAATAAGTCAACAAGCACCTACTAAGATAATAATATAGAACATGTTGTGTAAATTATTCTGCTTTATAATAAAAAATATTATTTTTTAATTAATAAGTTAAAGTATAATAACTGTAGTAGTATTTGTATAGTGTGCAGTATTCCAGTCATGAATTAATTCACCTGATCCTCTTGGCAACCTTTAATATAATATAATAAATGTAATTAATATAATATGATATAATTTAAATAAAATAGACACTGATATTCAGACTGCGTAAAAGTTTACCATATATCCTTGTAGTAGACAAAAGCAACAGAATCTGTTCAGAATTTGATTCACTACTTTACACTTTCAGATAGTTTACTATTCTGTCTCCATTTGAGATATTTTTCATTATATGGCCTGGCATCTGTTATAACAAGAACCTAAAGGTGCATAATGATATAACTAACAGCCTTTGGAAGAATAAACTTCATTTTAGGACGCTCAGTAAGAAACAATTTGAGGGACAGACCAATTGGCTCAAAGGTTAAAAGCAGTAACTGCAATTCCAGGGGACCTGAGCTCGGTTACTATAACACACTTGATTTGACTCACAATCACCTATAACTCAGGCTCCCAGAGATATGATTTCCTCTTCTGGCTTCTGAGGATACACACAGACACACAGACACACACACACACACACACACACACACACACACACGTTTGCTACTGCAATGCACACACACACATGACTAAATCTTTTAAAAAGGAAATTTAAGTTAGTACCTTTTTGTGTAATATTTGAAACCTATTTTTATCACAGATCTGTTTCTGGGGGGTTGTATGTAATAAATATGCCATTCCAAGTACATTATGTTCCTTGACCTTACACCAGTTATGGACTCGAGGTACAAATTTCTCCTGCAATCCCTTGTTATCTAAATGAAGAAATTCAGTGTGTCCATAATGATAGCTCTACCTTCTGTGATAGTTCTACCTTGTGTGAACAAAAACGCTGTCTTGACTAAAGTATAAATGATCATATTGCGAGCACTGGAAGAAGTTATTGCCTGTGGAAACTTATCTTTCATATGACAAAGCTATTGTGCTCATAAGGATGACAGTATGTCACTTGATATATGTGTCAAGGGATTTAATATTGTACGAATGATTTGCTTGGAGATATAACACAAGCTCTCAAGTCAGAGGATAAAAATCAGCAAACATTCTGTACAAGAATTAAACAGGTTAAAATACTGCTTAATAAAAATGTTGTTTAAGCTAGTTAAAATAACCTCCTGTTGTGCTAAGGGAAGCAGTCAGGTGTTTTGTTTTGTTTTATTCGTTTTACCGAACAGCTTACTTCTTGTTGGGTGAGACTAAGCAATCCCCCCTGGGGTTGGAGAGATGGCTCAGCAGTTAAAAGCACTTACGCTTTTGAAGAGGATCTGGGTTTTATTCCGAGGACCCATATGGATCTCACACTTTTAGGGTTTCTGATGCCCTTTTCTAGGTCCTGTTTGCACTGCATACTTATCCTTAAATGGTATGTCTACATCATCCTACTATCTTCCAACGTCAGGGAAGAGGTGGAAGGAGTATTAAGAACGTAGGAGTGGGAGGATAGGGAGAAGTGTGATCTACAGCCCACCAAGATTTCATTATGGATAGTGCAGGGGCTTATGGGGCCCCATCCCTCACTGGGAACTGTTAGTGATCGGTCACTGCTGGAAGAGAGAGAATCTTTTACTCAGTAATTATGCAGTGTATACACAGTCTCACAAAAGCAGCCCTGATGAAAATCAATGAATTTAAACACAAAAATATAAGAAAGTAGTAGTGGAAGACAACTTGGAAAGAAGTGAGTCATCTAGAGTTGAGAGTGTGCAAAAGATGGCAATGTGGTTTAATATAATTATATTATATACATTCTTGAAATTGTCAAATAATAAATTTTATGATAGAAGCATGTGAAGACAGAATTGTTCTGTGATGGATGGTGTTTCTTTTCTTTTTATTTATGTGCGGTGTGACAAAGATTTAGAAATGAAATCATTAAGTAAAGGAATAAAGGAGATAGAACCTTAGTAAACCATTTTTCTTATTAAGAAGACTTTCTGCCATATTTTACTTAATTCACAGAATCCATTTTAGAGAAAAAGGAACCAGCTAATTTAAATGCATAACTTGAGCTTTCATAGAAACAATTCTAATGTGTAAGAAGAAAATCTCAGTTATTCACACAGTGTTTCACAAATTTCAAACACAAGAAGAGTTATGTAGACTGTTTCATATAAATCCAGACCTCAAAATATTGACCAAACAGATTATGATACTCCAGTTCAGTAAGTTCACATGCTTTCAGAATCACAAGTCTGAATGTGCTTTGTGAGCCTTTCTAGAACTGGTGCCTGGAAAACACATTGACAATCACAGTTCCCCATCACCTACCGTGACTCTAATATTCCATGTTTTGCTATTTGC